TATAAATTAACCATAATACCCACATAAATTCTCATGGGTCTTTTGGTAAATTTATATTTTACGAATTATTTTTTTTATATTTTTATTAGGTGTGCCTCACTAATTTGTACACATACTCCAAATTTCAAGTAATTTAGATTTGTAAAAAGAAATAAAAATTGAAACGCTACCGGACAACTGTGACCGTGTGATGAAGTTTTGATAGTGTTGAGGGTAGGAGAAATCACTGTTCACTATTTATTTTCACCTACAGGCATTGGGAAGACTTATATATATAATCTAAACTTCACAATCCTTCAAATTACAAAGGTTAAAGGTAGAGAGTTGTGAAGGGTGGATTTAATAATTTTGAAGTCTATTTTTTTAAAAAAGTTATTTTTTGTGATATCGTCGTTATTAAGTATGGGTAATTTTATAAATATTGCTACAAGACAAATGGTACTTTTATCTTTTCCATAAATGGTAAAGTTGAAATTTTTGCTAAAAGACTAAAATTCTACAAATAAAATCCACGATACGACCTACAACATAAAACTTATATACTTCACCTTATCCAACCGTCCATTCCGAATGGAAGGCTAAAATTCCCCCAATAACAATGTCATGTCTCCACACTATTTTATTTTTAATTTTTTTCTATAAACTATTTGGACACCAAATTCCTCTATTAAACTCGCACTAGCAAAAAATATTAAAACAATATTTCAAAAAATTTAAAATGACCAAAATATCCTTGAAAGTTTCAAGGGATATTTTGATCATTATATTTTATCAAAATATCGTTTTTAATATTTTTTATAGGTGCCTCCCAATGAGAAGATGGCATGTATCAAATTTCATATTCATAAAATTTGTATAAAAAAAAACTAAAAATTAAATACTTTGAGACACCGGATCTAAATTTGTAACATTTCAAGGGTATTTTGTCAATTTTGTAAAATTCGTAAAAAAACTAAAAATTAAAATTTGTAACATTTGAGGAGTATTTTGATCAATTTTGTAAAATTCGTAAAAAAACTAAAAATTTTGTCAATTTTGTAAAATTCGTAAAAAAATTAAAAATTAAAATTTGTAACATTTGAGGGGTATTTTGATCAATTTTGTTTTTGCCGATCATTTTTTTTTATATTTTTATTAGGTTAGTTATCTGTTTTCTTGCAAAGAATGTTAAAAAATTCGCACCTCCAATTTTTTTATGAGTGACAGATTTCAATCCCATCATTCTTTTTAGTATGACGGATTTTGGATTGGATTTAAGAAAAGTGGTTCCGATGAATAGGCGTGAAAGAGTTGAGGGCACGGGTATATGTTAGAGAGAGGGAATGGAATGATTACACGGTGACAATTTGTGAAAGAAAGATTAGCCTGAACTTGTCGGAGAATGTACGCCCGCCTCAAGTTTGGGATATACCTAATTTGTACAATAATTATAAAAATTTAAATATTATCGGATAATTGTGACTATGTAATGAACTTTGAACGGTGATGAGGTGTAAGTGAAATACTGTAGAAATTCACCTATAGATGTTTTGTAGATGTTTCCATATATAACTCCAATGCAACAACACTTCTAGAAAACCATGTTTGTGGTATTTATGTGTCCCCAAAGTTTACACACACACACTCTGCATCTTAATAATTATTCTCCCAAAAAACAAAGTTCAATTTGAACCCTAGATATGGTCAAAATAAGTCCCCTCCAAAAATGAATCTAGACCATTCATTTTGTGAATTTCAAAATCTTAGCCTTTACAAACTCAAAATCAGTTTTTTCTTTTTTAACATTGTTCATCTAATAATAATAAAGCCATCTAAAAAAATTGGATATAAAAAAAGCCTTCTAAGGCCTATATCTAAGCACCTCACCAAAATTAACGGCCTATGTTAATTGGGCTAAAAAATACTTTCTAGGTTGTGTTTTCAATTTTTTCGTTTTTTGTGATTGTTCATTAAAATGAAAAGATTGCATATTTCAAAATTTGGATCAAACAAATTGGGATAAAGTTGTTTTTTACGGTTGTTGCATCATATTACTATACAATGGTTGCATAAAAATCATTGCATATATATATATATATATATATATATATATATATAAATGGGAAAAGATGATATTAGCCCACTAGCTTATATGAACATATGAGGCCAACGTCCTAGATTGATTATGGGCTGTTTTAACGATCATAGATGTCCGGTAGAATTTAAAGTTTAGTTTTTTTTCTACAAATCCAAATTACTTAAAATTTTAGGCGTGTGTTCATTAAAAATAAATGAATCTTCAAAAAATATCAAAAAATATTTTACATGAAATAAATTGATCAAAATACCCCCAAAAATCTTCGGGAGTATTTATGTAATTGTTTTCACGAATAATTGTTTTTATATTTTTATTAGGTGCGTCTTGATGAGAAGAACTGATTTGGATTTGTAGAAAAATAAATAAAATTCAAACACTACCAGACGTCCGTGATCGTTAGATCGGCCAAGATTCAATCTGAGTCATTAGGCTCATATTTTCATATGATATAGTAGGCTAATCCTATATTTTCCATATATATATACTACAAAACGCCTATAGGAGAAAATAAACAGTGAT